CCCCCCCAAAATCCCAGGATTCCCCCCCCGCGGTTGGGGGCTGCGGAGCGCCGGGCTCCGGCCCCGCTCCGGCCCCTCGTGACTCTCTGTCCCCTCCGCGCGGTGCCGCGGGCAGGAGTCCTCGGACAGCACCAACACCACCATCGAGGATGAGGACACCAAAGGTAGCGGGCGGGTGACGGGGTGGTGCTGGGATGCACTGGGAGTTGTTGCATTGCAGTGGGATTGCACTGGGATCGAGCTGGGATGCACTGGGAGTCATTGCGTTGCAGTGGGATTGCACTGGGATTGTGCTGGGATGCACTGGGAGTCATTGCGTTGCAGTGGGATTGCACTGGGATGCCTTGCAATGTCCTGGGATGCCTTGCAGTGCACTGTGATGGTGCTGGGATGCACTGGAGGGCACTGGGAATCATTGCGTTGCAGTGGGATTGCACTGGGATTGTGCTGGGATGCACTGGGAGTCATTGCGTTGCAGTGGGATTGCACTGGGATGCATTGCAATGTCCTGGGATGCCTTGCAGGGCACTGCGATGGTGCTGGGATGCACTGCAGGGCACTGGCAGTCATTGCATTGCAGTGGAATTGCATTGCATTGCAGTGGGATTGCACCGGGATGCATTGCAATGTCTTGGGATGCCTTGCAGGGCACTGCAATGGTGCTGGGGTGCATTGCAGTGCATTGGGAGTCATTGCATTGCAGTGGGATTGCACCAGGATGCATTGCAATGTCCTGGGATGCCATGCAGGGCACTGCGATGGTGCTGGGATGCATTGTAGTGCACTGGGAGTCATTGCATTGCAGTGGGATTGCATTGCATTGCAGTGGGATTGCACTGGGATGCATTGCAACGTGCTGGGACGCCTTGCAGGGCACTGCGATGGTGCTGGGGTGCATTGCAGTGCATTGGGAGTCATTGCATTGCAGTGGGATTGCGCTGGGATGCATTGCAATGCACAGGGATGGCCCTGGGTTGCACTGCAGTGCACTGGGATTGCACCGGGATGCATTGCCATGTCCTGGGGTACCTTGAAGGTGCACTGGAGTACATTGCAGTGCACTGGGACAGCACTTGGGTTGGCTTGGGTTAGATTGCAATGCGCTAGGATACACTGGGAGGGCACTGGGATGTATTGCAATGCACTGGGGTACATTGCAGTGCACTGAGATGGCACTGGGAGGCTTTGCAGTGCATGGGAATTGCCCTGGGAGGGGTCTCAATGCACTGGGAGGGCCTTGGATGCATTGCAGTGCCCTGGGATATCCCTGCATGCACTGCCATGAACTGGGATGCACTGGAATGACCCTGGGATGCACTGCAACGCACTGGAGGGGCACTGGGATGGTACCAGGATGAACTGGAGGGGTGCACGGGAATGCATTGGAATGGCACTGGGATGCATCAAGATGCACCGAAGCGGCACTGGAATGCACTGAGATACATTGCAATGCACTGGGATGCACTGGGAAGCGCTGGGATGGAACTGGGAGGCACCTCCCGCAATTCCCCACGTCCCAACTGTCCCCACGTCCCTGTCCCCACATCCCTCCTGGCCCTGTGTCCTCCCATCTCTGCATCCCCTGGGTCCCCACATGTCCCATCCCCACCTCCCTCCTGGCCCCATGGCCCCATCTGGGGACCTCCATCATCTTCCTCCTCCCTCCATCACCTTCTTCTCCCCTCTATGACCTTCCTCCTTCATCATCTTCCTCCTTCCTCCATCATCTTCCTCCCCCTCCCCATCAGCTCCTTCCTCCATCCCCTTCCTCCTCCCTGCACTCCCTTCCTCCTCCCTCCATCACCTTCCTCCCCCCTCCATCGTCTTCCTC